AAACACGGCGGCCGCCTGCACGCGCTGCCACGGCGGGGACGGAAGGGCTGCATATGGCGCTCGGCTTCAACAGCTGAGCTTTAAAAAAAGTGCAGCTTTTCATCTCAGCGAAGCAGCTCCCAGATCAGGAGGTAGGGAGAGAAGCTGGTGGGGGTGGTGGGGGTGGGGAGAAAATAAGGAAGCCAGGGTGGGCAGGGGAGCCTTAAATGTTAAATTTGATTTCATAAGGAATTTCAGACGATTATCTGGCCCTAAATTCCCTCCAGAAAATTAAATAATGTTCCCCATTTGTCATCCCCAAATCGACTAATTTCAAGTTACCAATACCATCTAAAAAAAAATGACTAGTTTTCTTTTTTCTTTTTTTTAAATAAAAATAAAAGAGTCTACCCATGTGGGAATCATTCATTCACGTGCTTCAGGCTCAGTCGAAATGTTTTAAGTGCATTTATAAATGGAATCATTATTGTTTTTCAAAGTTCTGCTCAGCACAGAGATCAGGTGCCACAAGGCCCGAGGGGGCGTCCCCTGGTCCTTTTAATTCCCTGCCTGGAGGTGGAAGGTGGTTGGAAAGGAGCAGGGGGAAGAAGCCTGAGACGGCAGTTTTTCTGGAATCGCCTGGAAACTTTTACTTTCTGTTTCCTCAGCTGATAACGCCTGTCTTCGGCTCTGCAGCCAGCTCCCCTCTCCCCTCCCAGCCCCCTGTTGCTGCAGCCTCCCCGAGCTCCAGTATAAAGTTTGGCTTCTGCAGCAGGAAGCAGCTGGGCCAAGCAACCAGCGAATGATAATGACCTCAGAAATCTGCTGTTCGCTCGGCAACAATAGGGTGCTCAGTCTACTGGAAAATTGTGTTCATCAGCTAACTCTGCTCAGTTACTAATTGACATTGCCAAATATTTTAAGAACAATTGGAATGCACAAGCAAAAAAAAAAAAAAAATGAAGATCTTAATCCTCAGACTTAAATTTTTTATTTTCTTTTTCTTTCCTTTTTTTTGTTTTCTCCCCCTCCTCCTCCTTGTGGGTGCCTGGATTTGTTTGTGCAGAGAAGGCGGTGGTTATCATGAATGAGGGGGTGTGGGGGGGACACATGAGTAAAAGAGGTAGCAGAGAAAGAAAATCTATCATATCACTATACACCCGGAGTAACGCAAGGGCACCCCAGATAAAGGCCTTTGAAGCTGTGGTCAAAGGGCCCACAGAGGAAGGCAACCCAGCATTTCAGGAATGCTGGACAGACAACAAAAGCCCACACGGCTTTTAGACCAGCTGATCAAATAATCCTTGTCAATCTCAAAATATTATACCAGAAGTAGTAGGGGTTAACAATATTTTCATCTCCGCATCTCTCCCTGGCCTTCCATTGATCACGCAACTTAGCCGACTTTATTTAATGAACAGAGGGTCGGTGCGTTCAATTACCCCCTTCCCACCATCAACACTTCAATTACCCCTACTCCAAAATTATGGGGAATTCGGAAGGTAACTGCCCTGTTGGATATAATGAACAGTATCGTTTCTTAGTACATTAAGTTTTAATTATTCTGCGTGTTGATTTCCAAAGCAAAATCCGAAGAAACAGAAGTTTGGTGGTTTTTTTTCTGACTCAGAGTAAAGGCAGGACCAGGGCACGGTCTTCCAGGAGGTTTCAGAGGAAGATGCAAAGATTAACGCCGTCAGAGTGTTTGCACGCAAGCCAGAAATGAGGATGCATCAAAACAGCCGCCCTTGCCTTTTAAATGTCATGAAAGAGTAAAATTTATAAGCTGCTGCTTTCCAAAGAGTTTCTCTTTGCATTGTACACGGAGGCAGGGATGGCATGGACCATGGTGGGAGATTATCGGTAAGTCAAATAAACAACAACATAACAAAAATAAAACAAAGGGAAAAGATGGGGAAGTGATCTGTGTGACTAGTTTTGTCCATTTTCTGTTAGAAAATATGACCTCTCAATTTGTCAAAGGTCCTGGTTTTCACAGTTGATCTTAAGCTCGGTTCTCAGCAGTTTGGAGAGCCAAAGAACAAACACATTTTCTGGTTCACTGGAATCATTTTCACATGTTCACTGATTCAAACATTCTTTTGCTCACATAACAAACAGCTGCATCCCACATTAGCCTAGCCAGTGACAGTCGCCCATCTCGGCAATAACTGTTTGATTGCAAACTTGACCCCTTCCTCGTCTCGGTCTGAGCAAGACATTTTTAAACAGCCACTCCGTTCCCAATCCTCCTTTGCAAAGAATTACATCAGATAACAAAGGACGTCTCTGCCACTCATTGTAAGCCTTCTTCTGGAGATCTGTTCTAAGAGGCTCTGTAAAAAGGTTTTTTATGATGAATTCAGAACTACTATCATGTTAAGAGCAGCGATTTATAAAGAAGAATTCATTGGTTAAGATCTGAAAAAATAGTTTCTCAGGCCCTACTGACCCAGTTTTCAACAAAAAAAGAATCAAGTGATGCAAATTAAGTTTTGCGACATTGTTATGCAGTCTGAGAAATTTATAAAACCGTGTTTTACAGTTATTTCTTAATAGAAGCCTTAATAAGTACTTCTTTCTTTACTTAAGGGCTTAAAGATTTTTTTTCTTTTGCTCCCTTGCACCTTGAAGGTTTCTCTTTAACAGGTAATAATAAAATACCCATTGTGTCCAGATTTTTATTTAAATGCCTATTTTAATCACACTTCATACAAGGCATACTTGTCAGAAATAAGAGGGAAAACTAACCAGATTTGGTTAAAAGTCCTAAATCCCAGGGAAACCTGAAAGCCTCAGACATGCAGACGATTTGGGCTGAATATTGGGTCTGCCATCAATTTTCCCACTTAGTCAGAAAATTATGAAAGGGTCTAATTTGAATATGAAGATGACAAAGGAGTCAACCAGAAATGAAAGAATCAGGATTCACCATCGTAAAACCTCCTCGATGAGGGACATCAAAGCGAGAGGGTCACCACAACTCAAGTATAATTCTCTTGGAGTCATAAGCAAGGGTTGGTTTTTTTGAGCAAAATGTTTTTTGTTTTTTTCAACAGGGTATTTAGAGATAGGCAAGCAACAGAGATAGGAATAGCACAAGGCTATCACTTGGCCAGAAGGTGAGAAAAACACGGCAAACACGCCATTAATGAAGATGAGCATTTGGTGTTGGAATCTTCTGCGGAGACCTTTTCATTTCCCCAGGTCCCAGAGAGAGAGAGAGAGAGGGATGGAAATCTGTCAGTGTTAACTCCACGTCACTCCAGAAACTTAGGCGAGCCTGTGTGCTCTCCGGATTCTGCCCCTCAAAGGTCCCCAATCCAAAAACGGCAAGATTACACTCCCCACCCAGAAGAGGACACCCCTTCCCAGGAAGCTGGAAATGGTCCCCAGTGACAATGGGACACCTGGCACTTTGCTGCCTCCGTGGAGCAGAGAGCCCATCTTCATGCAGTTCCCACTATCGGCCAGGGCAACTGGGAAACCCTTCCCTGGTATCTCAGTATGTTCCAGGTAGCAGGTGCCCCATGGAGTAGGTGACCTCACTCCTCCCTGATGCTCACGTCACCTGTTAGACTCTTCCGAAGCGTCTCAATGCTAATAAATTGCAAACAAGTCTAGGAGTCCAGGAGTAGACAGTGTATTTCATGGGTATTTAAGCAGCGGCTTTAAGTGGTATCGGAATCTCTGGAATGTGCAGATCAGATTTATGTGTCTTAACCATTCTTTGCTGGTTCGTAACAAGCCAGCAGACTCACGCTTTATTTTAATACTAATTTTGTCCTAGAAGAAAAGTATGCTGAAGCATAAAAACAACAAAACTAAACCGCCATCGACTCCATACACGCAGCAGTGAATTGCCTCCAAGATGGAGATATCTACCAAAACCAAAAATGGGGAGGGGGGGGGAGCGGGGAGGAAAGGAAAAAAAAGGAAGAAGAAGAAACTTTTAAGAAATGACCCTCAACAGTGGGCTGCCACATCTTGAACAGTGGGCAGTGCAGAGCCTCGAGGTGCCTCAAACTGTCTTTCATTTCGTAGACTTAATGGCTGATTGCAGGAATCAATGTTGCCATTAGTAACGGGGTATTTGTTATGGCGTGATTCCCTCTGTTGTTAGGCTGTAGAATGATTACAGTATTAGCGAGGTGCTTTCTTTATAAAGGGCTAGAGATATAACTTTCAATTTGCTATCCATTAGGAAGGAGCTTTGGAAATAGGGATGAAGGCAACACCTTACCTCCTGTTAGGTAAGGATTTTAATTTAGCTGCCTTAGGTCTTAGGCTAGTGGGGTTTTTTGTTTTGTTTTCTTTTCTCCCCCCTACCCCCAAACTGGGCCAGGAAGCTTCAGCATCTCACAGACATTTTGATGACAGATTTTCTGCTTTGCTATTTTAGACCCCAAAGCTGTATCGTTCGTGTAACACAGCACAATTTAAGACACGCAGGCGTACAACTGGGTTCAACCCCCCGCGCTTTCTCAAACCACCAGGGGAAAGCAGTGTGGCTCTCCAGGTCACAGAGACCCCACAGGTAAGCCACGTGGTAGTAGTTTTGGAAGGAGATGAGTCTGGCTTGGGGTGCTCCGAGGAGAGATTTGCAGGAATATATACTAAGGTGGAAAGATGGTGAGGGTCTGAATTTACACTGTGGCACCCATGGGTGCAGCTGAACGCCAGCTCCTGGGTTCCAGAGACAAGGTGTTAGTGGATGTATCAGGGCTGCCAGGACAAGGGGAGGCTGTGCCCCACTGGGTAACTGGCCACCTGGTCATCCTCAGCACGTGGGAGCAGGATCCCGTGACCTTCTGAGTACCAGTGGGCAGGGAAGGCCAAAAAGCTGAGATGAGAGTCTCTCACTGAGGCAGGGCAGCCTAGGAGAAAATGCACAGCCCGCTGCCTTCACAGACCATCAGCCACACTGGCCTCAAGATTGACTTCAGGCCCGCAAGTGGGTCCAGGCACCCCCAGGCAGGGCCTCTGCCAGCCACACCGCCCCATCTCCCCGACCAACCTACCTGAAGAGGAAGGCGAGGAGGGGTGCGGGCTGTCCTCCTGGGCACTCCCGGTCTGGGACAGGCCTCCTCCGACCCCGCTCTCCTCGGTGACGTTGGAAGAGCCCGGCGTGGTGGAGCGGCTCACCGACTGTGACTCCTGGTCGCTGCCCGAGCCACGCCGCTCCTCCAGGCCCACGTGCAGCCCGTCCTCGTCCGCCTTACGGTCCCGCTTGTGGACGCGGGAGTGCACGACCACTTGGTGGTAGGTGCGGAACACCCGGCCGCAGTCGGGGCACTCAGTGGGCTTCTCCTTCATGTTCCCAGGACCCTGCAGGTTATAGTCAAGCGTCTGGTTCAGCCCGTGAGACAAAAAATCCCGACTGCCTTCCAAAGGCTCGAGCTTACTGGGCACGTCCCTCTGGCCGCCCGCTTTAGCGCCGTGAACCAGGTCGGCCGGCATCTTCTGCTTGGAGCCGTCCGCCCCCACCAACACGTACTCACGCTTCTCCTTATCGAACATGACCCCGGCGCTCGCCAAGGGGTCTTCGTGGTTGCGCTGCAGCGGGTGCTCCTTAGACAAGAAGCCGTGCTCCATGGCCATACCCCTGGCCATGAGCTGCCAGGCCTGGTAGCTGTTCACCGGGTCCATCTCCGCAGCCTTGGCGGCCGCCTGCAACCGCTCAATGCAGCTGGATTTCAGGGGCGGCACGAGGTTGAGGCACCCCAGGAGGGAGTGCTTGTCGCCCTCGGAGATGCCATGGGCCACGCTGGAGAGGGGAGACAACAGCTTCCCCAAGGCCTCCTTCTCCTTGGCCGGCAGCTCCCCGCCCTTGCCGTAGAGGGGCCCGGGCTCGCTCAGGCTCGCCTTGTCGGGCGCCATGAAGCCGCTCTGCAGACAGGAGAGGTACCTGGAGTAGAGGTTGGCGTGGGCCTCCTGGGACATGCTGCCCATGGGCACGGGCACCTCGGGGTCACTGGGGGACTTGCTCTTCACCGACAGCTTGTTGAGGTGCACCTTCATGTGGTTCTTGAGGAACCAGGGCTCCTTGAAGCGCCGGCCGCAGATCTGGCAGCAGTGCTCGAAGGAGTCCTTGTGTTTGCGCATGTGGCCCTTCAGGAACCAGGCCTGGCTGAACACCTGGCCGCACACCTCGCAGCGGAACTCGTTGGCCGACTGCTCCCCGCCGCCGTTGGGGCCCTGGCCCTGGGCGGACTCGGCAGTGATGTGCGCCTTCTCCACGTGGCTGATGAGCTCCTCCTCCTGCGACGCGGCGAAGTCGCACAGCGTGCACTTGTAAGGCTTGTGCAGGATGCGGATGTGGCGGTCCAGCTCCTCTCGCTTCTTGAACTTGCCCTTGCAGAAAGTGCAGCGGAAGCCGGCCGCCGGGGCCACCGCATCCTCCTGCGCGCTGGCCGGCTTGGGCGAGGGTACCGGGTGGGCCACGTCGGGCACGCTGTGGTTGGCGGGCAGGGCCAGGTTGCAGGCGGCCAGCGGGGCCTGCTGCGCGTGCGGCAGGGGCTTGAGGTCCGGCCGCTGCGGCAGGAGGCTACCCTTCATCTGCTTGTCCCGCAGAATGGCACGCTCCTCCAGCTCGTGCAGCAGACGGTTCTCCTCCCGCACCCGCCCGCGTCCCTTGCCCAGGTTGCCCAGCTTGTGGGTCCGCAGGTGAATCTTGAGATTCCCCTTCTGAGCCGCCCGGTGGTCACAGTAGGGGCACTTGAAGGGCTTCTCGCCCGTGTGGGTGCGCATGTGCAGGGACAGGATGCTATTGAAGCGGAAGCGCTTGCCGCACAGAGGGCACGGGTACTTGCGGTTTTTGCGCGCATCGTCCTCGATGTCACTCATTTGGGACATGATGCCCAGGTTCTGCCCGTTGAGGAACTGCTGCAGGTCCACCCGCCCGTTGAGGCTGGTGTCCACGTCCCGGCCCAGCTGGTTGGCCAGGAGCGCCATCTGACTGCCCATGGGCTGGCCGCTCATGGGCACGTGGGCCTTCTCCTCCAGGGGCGCCGCGGGGGTCTTGTCCTCGGGGTTGGGCCGCGGGTGCAGCTCCGGAAAGGCATGGCTGAGCTGGGACGTGATCTGGTGCAACTTCTGACTCATGGCATACTGGCCGTTGAGCACCGGGCCGCTCAGGTGGGGCTCAGCTTCGGGCGCCGCCGCTGAGGACACCCCAAGGCACAGACTCGCTTCTTCCATCCCTGGAAACAGAGAGAGAGTTCAGATCTGTGCTAGGCACCGAGGCGGTGCAATACATCAACCGCATCAGCTGGTGGAGAATTTGCATTTCATGCCTTACCTACACATAATAATGCCGAGGAATTATAGTCAAAAACAATAATAAAAAAATGAATTATTAAATGCCAATTATGCAATATGGCATCGGCCTTCCAATTTGTTTTGGCGATGGACCGTCTTCCTTGTATTTTCTATTTACAGACTGCAATTACTCATTCACATTTAAATTATTAATGTCTTACCACTTTCAACACCTAATAACAAATCAAGAGTCTACGTGTGAAACTTTTCCCCTTTTCCTTCCTAGCACCTGTACCTGTTGGTTCGGCGCAAAGTTTGCCTTCCAGCCGAATGGGTCCCACTGCGGGACCGAGAGACTCCCTGGGAACTTAGGTGTCCGCTTACTGTAGTCAATACATTCGCCATTCTGAGATGAAAGAGATCATTTTATGATTTGGCCAAAAGGAAAAAAAAAAAACAAAACCAATGGCATGATATTTACTGGTACATAATAAAACAAGATAATGTTTTGGGGAAAAATAAAGTAAAGGACAGGCTTTAGAACAATAAAAGGGATTTTGCTTTAGTCAACAAAAAGTGCAGTAATATCTCATTAAGCTGATTAGTATGCTGCTTAGAAACAGTTCTAGGTGCTGTAACACATGATTATAATCATAAAAATCCTTCAGTGTTTGCATGGAAGCATTAACGAGGTATATTAAATTTTAAGGAGACTGCGAGTAGCAGCTTTGCAAACCTCAGAGATTAAGAGTTAACCCTTGTGTTACGAAACACTGTTACTTTGTCAACTGGTAACCGTGTCCATCAAAAGAACCATACATTTATCTCAGGACGAAATCTTAGCGGGTTGTTGAGACTGTTCAAATTCGGGTGGAAGCAAAAATTCACCCCATCTAACCGGCTCCCTTGTCCTTCAACTGGCGAGACAGCCCAGCCAGGGACTTTGATTGGGCTTAAAGAGATCTTTTATAGAACTAGATAAAAACCAATTAAAATCCAGGGATGGTGCCACAGGAAGTCTCCACCAAGTTTGAGTGTTTTTAATAACTTTCCCAATATACAGTAATGAGTACAAATTGTACCTGCAGTATGTGTTTTGCAAAAAATTAGAACTCAAAGCTGTTTGTTAAACACCAGCACTCAAAGCTGGTCTGCATAATTGTGTCTAATAGTCCCCTCTGCACCTCCCTCCTTCAGCCTGTGCAGAATTCTGGCTAAAGCGGGGGGCTGGGGGGGGAGTGTGTACAGGAAACAGCCTCCCTCACACCAGAGCATGTGGGAAGCTCACCATGGAAAGGAAAGGCAGTGAGCCCCTGCCTGGGATCCTTCTATCTCCACTATGTCTCCCATCAGAACGAGTGCAAATTTGTTTCGTCTCAGTGTTTAGATGTGTTGGCCGGGTGGGGCGGGGGGTAGGGCGGTTCAAGAGCCGTGCTTAACCCCAGCCAGGGCCGATTCCTGGGCCAAGCAATTCCCTAGGGGGACCTGCAGGACACAGCTCCACTGTGGAGGGGGCACACACCCCGCCCCCTGGTGGAGTCCCCTACCTGCTGGGCCCCCTCCGGGCAAACTGTACCATGAGAGGTCTCCAGTGAGAGGCCTGGCTTCCTTGGTGAGGGGAGAGGGTTGTGAGTTCATCTTGCAAAGGAAGATGAGGAAGTACTATGCATGCTTACTTCCAGAAGGGCAACGGGTTATAGCTATGGTATAACTATGGTGCTGGTCTAACTGTGTCCACCCATGTGCACACACATAGAGGCTCACGGCACTTGCACTGAAAAAAGGCTTCCAAATTACCACTTTTCCTTTCTGTTCCTGATGGCTGTCTACACTAAAAAAAAAAAAAAAAAAACATTTTGGAGACACGTCAGAAAAAGACTAATTTTGTTAATTTCCCATGGAGAGTCTCTGCATTCATTCAGCAAACTTACTGAACGCTGCTGTGTGCCAGTCCCTATCCCACCACTGGAGACATGATGGTGGACAGGACCTGCTGGCCCCAGGACTCATGGTGCCCACTCTCCAGCAGGGAGGAGCAGGCCCAGAGCACAGGGGTTGCTGGAGGCTCCGGCTAGAGACCAGTGGCCCCAGGGCCCCGTCTGGAGCCCTCTCTCCACCTTCAAGCCCCATCCAGCTATGCTGGCTCCTCTCCTGAGCCCACCTGGGTCATGACCCCGACACCCCATGGGAGTGCGGAGAATTCTACCCAGTAGGTGCAAGTTTGGAAAGTCCAAAGCCAACACGGCTGGCCCACTTCCCAAGGCTGCCCAGTTGGCCAGCTCGGAAAACATGAATCCAGGAAGACGGCTATTTTCAGGTTGCTGCTGCTGAGCGGATGCCAATTCAGCAGGAGGGAGGGAAGGCTGAGTGTGCCGTGCAGGGAGCCACAGATCAGGTCGGATGAGGGACACCGAGCTGAAGGCCGTGCCCCCCCACACACACACACACTGATGCTACTCCAGGAACTTCTGGATGCGCTACATAATGGACAAGAGAGCTTACAAGCTTGCTTTGGGCATGGAATTCTTCTATTCTGTTAAAAAAAAAAAGAAAATTGTTTTTCTTTGCCAGTGTCAACAAAGGTTTTTAACCCCTTCAGCAATTGGTCTTCAGATGACATTGCTAGAAGCTCAGTGGAGGAGAGAGGAGAAGTTCTAGAATGTTCCACCCCAGCCCTTTGCACAGATGGCTCTTCTTCATGTGGGAGGAGCTCAAGTACCATTTCTCACAAAGTCCCTCTGTGCCCTCTCTGTCTAGGATGGACACCCCAGGCCCCCCAGCGTCCTATCAGCAAGCTTCTCTCCTATGAGGGCAGAGCTTACATCTGCCTGCGTCAAGGATGAAGCCATAGGGCCTGGAGCAGAGCTGGCTCATCCTCGGTTCAGCATTTCCTGAATGAATAGATGGATGAGCAGACGGGTCTTGTACACACAGCCCATGAAAGGAGCCCAGCCGTGTGGGAGGCCCACCCTCACCTCAACCTCACGTGACCTGACCTCAGCTTCTGCACAAATCCAAGAGCATCTGTAATCAGAATCTGTCAGAGATGGAAGGGTCCTCACCCCACCCCGAGATGCTGCAGGTCCAGAAACCATCCAGGAAAAGCCCCTCTACAACCAGGTGTCCACAGTGGTCAGCCCCAGCTCCTGGTGGCCCAACTGCTGGACACTAGCAGACAGAAAGCAACTATCCCCTTCAGAACTTGACTCACAGGGCCCACAGGAGATCCCCTGGCTTCCTGGCCAGCTCCCCAGGAGATGCTCCTAAGATTACAGTCCCCAGACCTCCAATGAAGAAGGCATGCCAGATGGTCAGCTCCGGCTCCTCCACAAGCAGGTGCATCTGAGGCCACTGCTAGGGTTCAGTCATAGCCATGGGTGCCTGCAGCCCCACTCAGAACAAGGAAGGGAGAGTGAGTTCTTGGAAGGAGTCTGGGGTAATTGGTGTGTTGTCCCTGGGCCAGAGCAGCCAAGGCAGGATGAGCTGGCCCCAGGCCCGGCCTGGGACTCGCAAAACCTGGGTCGGCCCCAATTTCTCCAGCCTTGACACTTCACCCGTCCAGAATTCATTTGTCCCTTACCTCAGCCATTCTGCAGATGTTTGCCAGGGACCTTCTATGTATTTGCTCTTGAGGGCTTGTGGGTCCAAGAGACCAATGCCAGGAAGACAGCAAATAACAGGCAGGCAAGCAATGAAAAGGCCAAGACTCAATCCAAAATTACAGAAAGGAGAACCCATGTAGCTCAGTACACGGGGGGGCGTGTATGTGCACGTGTGTACATGTGAGGGTGTGTGCACATGTGAGGGTTTGTGTGCGTGCACATATGAGGGTGTGTGCACATGTGAGGGTTTGTGTGTGTGCACATGTGAGGGTGTGTGCGTGCACATGTGAGGGTGTGTGCACATGTGAGGGTGTGTGTGTGCACATGTGAGGGTTTGTGTGTGTGCACATGTGAGGGTGTGTGCGTGCACATGTGAGGGTGTGTGTGTGCACATGTGAGGGTGTGTGCGTGCACATGTGAGGGTGTGTGTGTGCACATATGAGGGTGTGTGCACATGTG